AAAAAAAGAGTGGGGCCTGCAGACCTACAAAACATTTGAGATGGGATGATTCCTGTAGAAACCTTTCACCTTCTGCTGGTATATATGTTTAATAAAGGCATACTGCTTTAAAAGATTGTAAAATCAAACTTCTGGCACACAATCTCAGCAGTGAAATGGATGAAACTTCAAGTAAGAAGAATGAATGTGCAAAAGAGCAGTGTTCATAGTGGACACATAGATAAGATTTGATAGTTTTTCCTGTTCTGAAGTCTTTGCACAAATCAATAACAAACACATACAAGTTCCTGAACCTCTAATAGACATAAACTACTCATCCTCAGTGTTGGTCGTGCCAAGCTTACCTTTCTGTGGGTGTTTTTCTTAACTGCTGCCAGAACGGCTGTTGTCCTATATAAAGGACAGACAGGGCTATGGTCTTAGTATGTGCGGAAAGGCTTATTTGATATGAATACAGTGGCATATAAAGGCAGATACAGGACTGTAATTACACCTAATGGCTGTTCAAGACATCTTGGTGTATGATGTCTGATTATGGGTGATCATTTTCTGCTTTTTGGTGAAAAAGCACAGCTGCCAGGTCCTGAGCTTTACTGATGATAGTGGTTCGGAACAATGGGGCTATTGAAATGCATTGTCCCTATCCCAGCTTAAATGTCAGAGGATAAGATTGGCAAGAAATCCAGGGCTCAATTTATAGTAGCATCCTCAACCCAAACTAAGAGGAAGGACGAATGAATGGAATAAAAAAGAGGATATCTCTCATTCTGCTGCATCAATTTTGATCCTTTGATTCGAACTGTCCACCGTGAGTGTGACAGTGTTAGAGGAGTGCTGCAGTGGAGTACTTTATAGTAGTATAGTACTTTAATACTAGTTTATACAGCAGTCATATGCTGACGTGCTGTTGCTCTCTTGGTGCAACACCATGTGTGTCAGACATTTATTTGTACAATACATTGCTTTGAGAGTAGTAAGGCTCGTCAAAGACAGAGATGTCTGAGGTATTAGAGAAATCAAGGAGGCACCAGGTAGTAGTTTTGCAGCCAGGGGGAGGATTTACGCTGCACTTGAAGCAAACTGAAACCTCAACCCGTGAAGGTCAGCAGAAACCAGAGGGGGTCATGAAGGGGCTGTTGGGGAAGACTGAAGGCACCTGATGAGTGTGGCTGAAGACTAGTGAACACTGGCTGGTGGAAAGCCACAGGGGGAGATGAGTGTAGGCAGCAAACTGGTGGGCTGAGGCAGGATACTGGGAGACCACTAACAGGCAGGTAACAAGATTAACAGGCAGGAAAATCAGGTCAACAAACCAGGGGACTTGCTGAACAAAGAGAATATAACATACTGCTTTGGAGCAATGATAAGTAACTGAGTGATCAGGAAAATGCAAAACAGTTGGTGTTGTGTATAGTTTATTATTACCCTGGTAATACCGACCTGAGAGTTTATTTTACTGTAATCCTCTCATACCGATGTCACTAGTCCTCAATGAAAAATAATTTCAGAGCAAACGTTAGCCATTCCGAGATTTTGGTCAACCACATTTCCAGTCAACAGGCCTTTAAACCGTCCTAAGCCACCACCTGATTCTCACACCCACCTGCGCACCTGTAGTTCATCATTGTGTCTGTTTGCACAAAACTCTTCATGACAAAAAAAAAAGAATACAATTATAATGTGTTTCTCTATTTCCAAATAATTTACCTGAATAGTGATTTAAGATTTGAGCTTATACATGTGATTGTGTTACAGCTTACACAGTTACATGTAGCTGTTTCCAGGAAGAACTCCTCTGACTGGGTGGGTTTTACTGGAAATAGCTAAAGCAAATGTGTGTAACAAGAATAGAGCGTTCATGGCTCTGCGTCACAGGTTTTACTTTCCAAGGTTGTATTCAGTTGCCAAATTCAGTCATGTTTCTTCCTTTTCATTCACTGGTTAGTTTAGTTATAGATATTTCAAATAGTCTACCATTGCCAGACCTGCAGCTCATTCAGTATCTCGTCATGATATTTTTCAAAGAGGTCTGGCCAAACTCACTGTCAATACAGATATCTGAATGAAATTATCTGGATTGTTATAAACTGAACCAATGAGAACTGTCAATGGCAAGCTTAGTGATCCTATCAAAGGATCAGTTTACCCATATTACAAAATCTATACATATATATATGTATTACCCATATGGTATCTGGCTATGAATATAGTTTTGGTTTTCACTTCATCAAATATTGCTTAATTAAATTAATACATGTAAAAGTAAAATATCGTTAATAGAGCATAAATACCAAATTGCATAAATTCAACACATCAAAATTCCAGATGTACAGAAGTAATCATTACAAAAATGTCAAAAATCTGTAACTGACAAAACATCACATACAAATTAGCATCATAATTTGAGCCGGGTTGATGGGATTTTTGGGGCTCAAGAGAAAAGCAAAAATTTGAAGGATTTTGATCGTGTTGAAGGATGTCGTGTTTGAGTTTTAAAAAATGCAATTACAATGTTTGTATTATGCTCCGAGCACCAGTTAAATTCAGAAGAGGAGCTTACGATTTGTTCAAGGATCTTCAACAATATTCTTTCAGTTAATACTCTGCTGATTTAAGAAATTATTACAGAATTCTTTGGGGCATATTTTCACATTTGGAGGGCTGAAGTTTGAAATCTGCCCCTGAAAAAGAAAGAAAGAATTTCTTATATAGCATACTGCTATAGAGCAACAAAACCAACAAAAGAGAGCAAAGGATTATCAGAGGAATCAAAAAGTTTGCATCAATAAATTTTTTTAATTAAAACAGGATTGATTGCTTTTTATTTATCTTTCATGAGCTCATTTTGTCTTTTCAGCCCCTTCCTTTTATTATGTTTTGTATGTAAACTTGTAATTTGTAAAATAGCCAATAACCTACGCTATAAAATAAATGTGGCATAAAAGTACAATATTTTCCTCTGAAATGTAGAGGAGTAGATGTAGAAAATGTATAGAAATACCAATACATGTAGACTACTTTCTGCCAGTGATTTCATGTTCTTTTTAGTGACTTAATTTCAGTAATTTTTGTATTTACAATCTTACTCTGATTTCAGATTTTTTATGCACAAGATACTTTTCCTGCCCCCTGATTATGATTAAAGACATTTAAAAAAAAGACATTTCCTATGACGTTGCTTTCTGGTCAAACAGGCTGAAGCAGGCGCACAATGCAGACAGAGAGGAGCCTCACTCGCTAGAGCATCCCCAGACTGAAGACATCTTCAATGTTTTACTCATCTATCCAGCAGGGTCTTAAATGTATTTCTCTGTGTTCTATTACTTCGTACAAGATAGTCACATATACGCTTTGAGTGGTTTGTTATATCAGGCTAAGAAGTTATAGGGTGACATCGGCAGCCTTTTCTTACATTTGTCAACATGAAACAGGGAGCTTGTTCATCAGAGCATCAGTTCCTCTGTTATGCGTGGGCCTGTTTCTACTAGCATTTATTTTGGTTTGCTTCTATGGCATAAGCAGCAGTGGTTCCATTAACTGATTATGTTTGAATATTACCTTATAATGCCCTTCTTAATGGTTAAAAGTGTGGGAAAGAAAATCACCTTAAATGACAGCTGTTCTCCTTTCCATTCTCCTTTCTGTTGGGAAGAGGATCATTTTCTCCCTAGAGGAAATGTAAACATGAATGTTAAAATAAAATATATATATATGATTCACTTCAGCAGCCTGGCAAGTGTCTTCTCCTCCTCCAGTTTAGAGATTTGTGTTTGACTGTTTAAAAGGATGATTTGTGTGAAAGTGCTAAAATAATGACATTATATTTTTAGATTCATCTCATCCCAGCTTTTCTATTTTTTCATCAACTTTCACAGCTTCTGTAATTTTAATGCAATTTCAGGCTTTGATTGCTCTGTTGCTTGAATGCTAATCATTTTTACTGTAAAACTTGTTTTCTATTCTGCTTTTTGTGCATTTAAGGAAAGGTAATTTATCAGTGAAAAATAAATAAGTTACAAGAAGGTCAGTAAACAGATGGCACTCCACGGGAGATGCACACGTAACAAAGTGCACGGACTTCAGCAGGACATTTCTGTGGCCTTAAACTAAAGCCACTTCATGAACATTTTGTCTGAAATTAGTCAACTCATCAGCTGTGTATTGAAATTCTCTCTTAAAATGAACTGAATGTCCATCTATCATGTTATCACTATACTTTGTATCCACAGAGCTGTTTTTGTAGATTTGATATTATGACACTTTTTAGATTAGCAAAAACAGTAATTAAATAAAGTCATAAAATGTATATAAATATTAGCTCCCTCGGAGCATCAGCAAGCAATCACATAAATATTCCAGCTGATGGAAAAGCTCATTGAGGCTTACTGAATGATTTGACCTTGCTTAAACCACCTGTGTTTTTGTCCTTGTCCTTTGTTACAGTGATTTTCAAGTTTTTCAAATTTATTATTTAATCACATATTTGTATGGTTAAATACTCTATAACCTTTTTTGGTATTTTGTGGACAGACAATATTTAAACCTGCAACAACAGTTTATTTTGGCCACTTGGGAAGACAACACAGACATATCTTCACCATTTAAAACTGCTTATTTACACATCCAGCAGATGCAGAGCAAAATCATTAGGAGTCATGTTTCTGGTCACCTGACGAGTGTAAGTTCAATATTCACATTCTTTTAGCTCTGAACTGCAGAGGTAAATATCTGTTCACCAGTTAGTAGCTAACTTATCATTTGGTGATGAGCAGTTAGTGTAAAGTGGATTTGAGCGAAACTAACCAAGTAAACTAAAGATGTGGTGTGAGGGGCGCCGTTTCCCAAGCTTTGTCTGGACATGTGTGTCAGACAGTGGATTGGGATCATAAGCAGAAAAAAAATACCTTGGTAGGCTTATGTGTAACAGAGCAATGATCATACCGAATTAAACATCAAAGTGAAAGAGGCCAAAATGAACCCACAAGAAAAATCAGTTTAATGAAACAGTGAACACCAAAATTCAACTACATAACCTGACATGAAGAATTTATGGAATCTTCTGCTTCGTCAATTGCAAACCCAAGTGATATACTGCATTAATACCTTAAAAAACTTTCTTTCCACTTTTTTCAAACTGAGATATGCAAAGATCTAAATTCCAGATACTAATGCATACAGAAAAAAGAGCAGCCCTTCTCCCCCAAATCTGTAATTTTTGTGCAAAGAAAAAGAACAAAATACTGCATACATTTGTACAATAAATTAGATAATTCAATGTTTTATAAATTAATAGATAACAATGTGGATGTGTTTATTCAGCCATTCAGTTTTAACAGATTCCTGGATACTTTAAATAAATGCTTATAACTAATTCTACAGCTGAGAGGCTCTCATCATTCTCCAAGCCATTTAAAAATTAAAAAGAAAAGATTGTGCACACATGAAAAAAACTTTAAATACTAAAAACCTCACACTTAAAGACAGACAGACACCAAGAGGATCGGACTACTTTTCAAAAGCAGCTCTCAAATATTTCATTGCATTTAAATTGAAGGCTCTCTGACTATCGGTGAACCTTCAGTGTCACAAATGACCTTAAGTCATATTTCGCACAACTCTCTTGTAGAGAAACTTTCTGTATTGTCGCTTCAGAGCCAGAACCTCACAGCACCCACCTCTTCTCTGAAATAAACTAAAACATTTGGTTAAACCTTCTCTGAACGACTTTTCAGTTCTTAAGTACTGGCACACACTCATCCACTGTGTTGGATTAGTAAAATACACATTTATTTCATTTAATACCTGCATTTGATTTATACTACAAACTACTGGAGAATTTGTTTTCCCCTTTTAAAGTATATATTAATGAATAAGGTGAGAGAAGTAACATTCAGACTACTCCACATGTACCATCCAGCTAAATCTTCGCTTCTTCAATTCAAAAAGGGTTTGGTCTTTCTGCTTAGTTTAAGTTTAACTACCCAATCAAGGAGATAATGACTTTCATTCAGAACATGAACTGGCTTTGTCCAGCCAAGGACTATTTTACATTTGTCTAACAGTGATGTTTTCACACCACAAAGTGGCAGCACAAAGTGTTTTCTTTTCAAGATTTTAGACTAAAGACGACATGGGCAAAGTATATTTTATTATGTACTTTGTTTTAACTAGATTTTTATTCCAGTTATATAACAGATAATACATACTATTCATGAGCTAACATTTCTTCACAGCTACTTTCACACCTTTGTGGATAATAACACATTTTGAACATTTGCTTTAACAGCCATGTCAGGCACCTTTTCATGTACAGTAAAGTTGCTTAGATTTTTTTTTGTTGTTGTTGTTGTTGGTTATTTTTTTTGTTTGTTTTTTTTTTGTTTTTTTTAGAATTTAGAGAGAGAGTTGTGTTGGTCAAGCTCAGTAAGAAAGACTTGATATTTCTACAGGATCTTTTCTTTTAAAGATTAAGCTGCAAAAATAATGTTATTAACCAGACAGAAAGTTTGATATACAGACAAACAATTTTAAATAGTTTTCAGCGCTGAGTTTTAGATAGTACTGCACTGTTCTATTTAAAACCAAGGGTTCCAAAAACAACCACTACGAGCACTTTCTGATCGTTTCCAATTACTGTCATGGTGAGGCAGTAAAACTCAGCCCGCAAGTCTTTTGTATCTGATAAAACAATGTCAGAAGTCAGTAACAACATCTGCCTTTTGTGATTAAAAAAGCATTATGGCAGCACAAAAGGCAATCCAGGAATCACTCAAAAACACAAGAAAACATTTCTAACACACTTACAAAAACGTCACTATTAATTATAAACAGTTATATACAATGACGTCATGATTAGCACTAGTCTTTCATTCTCAGGCCTCAGCGGGTGAAGTGATGCCTCACTTGTGCGGCAGCTTCTGAATGAAAAACAAAAGGAAGCAAACGTCGGAAAAGGGGATTGAGGAATCTGTACATCACAAGAGACACGCACACTCTTGACAGCTCTCTACGGACTGAAAGAGAGGTATTAATTTAGAGGGCATATTAAGTTGTTTTTTTTATCTTGAAATTTTTAAGGACCCTTGAGGTGTAACAGTCATACTAACAGTATTAGAAATTCATGAAAAAGTTGAGGCAAAGAGGAAAAAGCACTAACTTGTTCAGGCGGCTGATGATCAGAACTTTTTTTATCTCAGTTTACTTTGTTTTCAGTGTGAAAGATATATTGAATATATTATCTTTCAGTTCCATTTAATTGAATAAACATCTGATTATCTAAAGGAATTATTGGGTAAGACCAATGATGTGTTGTGTTGTCCTCAACATTACCGTAAAAGACAGCTTTTGCAAGAGTATGTAGAGATTCACTGATACATTGTGATAGACACATATTTCATTATATTCAATGGTAGCTTATAAAATAAGGTTTTAGAGACTGAAAAATCACTTCAGTATAGATTAAAGAGCTAGATTAATTTCAAGAGATGCCCCAACATATTAGGGAAAAAGAGTTAAGGATTAGATATGTTTTTGTTTTTGGTACATAAAGAACGACTTCTGGTTTAAATGTTGTTTTCTATAAAGTATTACAGGCCAAAATGACTCAAAATATACACCCATACATCTTCATTCTAGACTTACACAACGTTGATGAGATGAACAAAATAACTTGCATGACTCTGAAACATCGACTTATATAAGCTCTGAACTGAATGCAGTTTATCCAAAAGTACACACTCATGCACTGTGATGGATTAGTATGTCATGCCTTTGGTCCATTTAATGTTCTCTACACTTGAAGAGTACAGTAGACGAGCAGAATTTATCATAGGCATTATTATGATTTCAACAGAATATAAACTGGTGTTGAAGTGTCAAGGATTTTTTTTAAGTGAATGGAGCTCTGAGTGCATTCTTGAACACATTCTAACACAACGTAGAAGTGCCTTTTCATTTTAAATAACTTAAGAGGAGGCAAAGAAATAAAAATGTGTTTTATAAACTAGGTATTAGTCCTGAAGGCAGCTTAAAGAAAACATTAAGTTACAGAGGCCAAGACACACAGTGAAAGTGAAAGTGTCTCTAATTGGTGCTTTATAGAACCTTTGTATGGAAACGTTAAGTAGCTCATTGCTGTTATTCTCATGTCATTGTGGAAATGTAACTGTACCGATGAAAACACATTTTAAACCTTACTTATCCAGGTGAAGTGTCACAGAGAACAATATGCTCTTTTCCACAATTCTCATCACACCTGGAAGCTGCCACTTACAACCACAGTCTGATCTGATGGCTTCAGAGCAGCTCCAATGGAGGCTTTAAAGGCCTTGCTCAAAGGCTCCTCAATGGTGGTAATGAGTTTTACAATATCTGTTGTTTTCCTTTCCATCATCCAATGAGGGAAGACTTTGCAGAAATACTTTGGAGGTCTGTCTGTGTTTCTTGCAGGCATGAAAGGATAATTTGGATATTTTCTTACACCTGGGCCTATTTTCACTTGTTTTGGTGTCGAAATGACAAGTGACTCCCAGTGACACCCTTTATTTTAAACAAGAAACTGAAGTCTAGCTCAAGGGACATTCTCGCTCTGAAATCTTGTGAAAGGTGAGTTGTTGCAGGAAGATGACGAAGAAAGCAAGACTTTATTTCCTAACGTTACACCAACACAAGAATCTCACAACTTGCCTCTCATGAGATCTTAGAGCGGGAATTGTCTTTGAGCGAGCCTTCTGTTTCTTGTTAAAGACAAAGGGTGTCACCGGGAGTCTCTCGTAGGGATCCTTTCCATGATGTTGTCACACCTTGTATAACAGTCTAAAACTTTTTAGACCTGCTGGTCATTTTGAAAGGTTTAAAAGTACTGAAATTATTTAATAACAACTTGTTGATTTGACGACTAACAGTACAGTTTTTCAGACCTCACAGGTGGACTGGCAGAGGTGAGTTTTACAGGAAACCGAACAGTGTTGGTTTGTTTTCATTTAACATTCATTTTCAAACTTGTGGTCTTCAGCCCCGCCCTGCAATGGACTGGCGACCTGTCCAGGGTGTACCCTGCCTTTCGCCCGATGCCAGCTGGGATTGGCTCCAACCCCCGCGACCCTGTACGCAGGATAAGCAATTGACGATGGATGGATGGATGGATGGTCTTCAGCCCCAGCTGACTCAAGTGACATCACTTTATCTGATTTCATGTAGCTCCCTCTAGAGCCACAAAAGGCTTTATACAACCTTTTTTTTTTACATATGCAGTAGCTACTCTCCAACACCTGTAAACAGACTTTGACGAGTAAAATCGGGGGGTGCCTCTTTAAAATGCAGTATCAGCTCACTGGGACATAGATAATTTCACCAAATATTGGTAAATTGTTGAATATGACAGGTGACATTCAGTATATGGAGTTGAAAAGCAGATGTTCAAATTTTCATTTTTCCAGCACTTTAGGGTTTCTCATGTTAGCTGTAAAAATGTAACCTTGAAACCAGAAATGTGTTAAAGTGCATACTGGAAGTGCTCAGAAAAATGGAAATTTGAACATCTACAAATCTATGACAACTGGGCAACTCTGTCTATGGAGGAAGATATTGTAATACAATTAAAAGCTCCAAAACAGTACTGCATGGACCTTCTGGAAAGGGTTTTGTTAACTATTGGTTAATAGGTTAATAGTTACAGAACTTGTCAGTGAACTGATATTACTTTGCTGATTTGATTTTAAAAGTTGATGTTTCAAGAGGAATACGTTCACAAAAAAAGTTGGAACATCACTAAAAATAAGAGGAGATGTAGGCAACAATTCAGAGGTCTTGACCCAAGCTTAGTTAGTACAAATTCATTCCCAAAACAGCTTAAGGATCAATGTCAAACACTGAAGCCGTTCATTAGTCATGAGTTCAGTTTAGTGAAAAAAAAAAAGCGTAAAAAGCAGCGTCACTTCATAGGGAACGTCTTTAATTACTTCAGCGCTGTAAATGTTGTTACGTCATATCAGACATGTTGGGTCTGTTATTTATCGTCAGTATCTGCAGCCACATCGCAGTTACGACACACGACCATGTGCCCATGCACGTGATCACCTTCAAAATGTCATTTCTCCTAAACATCCAGCTGGCTCACTCACTTCATAAAAGGCTTCAGCTGAATAAGAAGAAAAGAGAAAAAAATGATCTAAAACACAGAGAACATAAAGGAAGACATGAATAACAACACCTGAAAGCACAGAAGTAGAAAATGTTTATGAAAACAAAACGCTGACATTCACAATGAAGACGATATTTGTTTGTTGGCACCATACAGTTTGCATGATTGTCGTCGATGTATAAAATAAATGTTACAGTCAGTATATGTGAGAACAGTTCTTTGGTATGTTAAAACACTGTCTTCCACCCCTTTTTACCGCACTGTAAACCAGATATAATGCTCATATTACATGTAGCAGGTTCAGTAATTCAACATATTAGGTAGCTGATAACAAAACATCATCTTGCATATCCAGCATATCATATCATTACAAACACTTAAAATAATTGCAAATATCATTTTCAAATATTTTATAAAGAAACACACAAGACTCTAAACCTCTAAAGTGCCTCAGAAGCATCATTAGATAGTGTGTCGGAATAGGAGGCAACTGTGTGGTTTCCAGTCAAAGAGGTTTGCAGTTAATCCAACAAACGTGCTTTAAAATTATGGCAAGAGAGGCAAACACAACATAGCATGCTCACCAGTGTCTACTGTCTACAGTGAATATGAAAATACTTCATAAAACGTAATTGTCTATAATGTTATACAGGAAGAGGTTTAAAAAAAAATTGAAGGCGTGGGGTATCTCATTTAGCCTCGGTGGTGTTTCTGAGATTCAACAGTAGATGGCAGCAAAGTAAAACTAAATACTGAGAAGGAAACTCACCAGAACAGAGAGATTCTTCGGTTGTTATATATAGAAAAATCTATAAATACAGTTCATGAAAGTAAACTGAGTAGTGTACTGTATGAACATAATGAGCAAGTTGTTGATATATATATATATATAGATATAGATATAGATCTATATATATAGATATAGATATAGATCTATATATATATAGATATAGATCTATATATAGATAGATATAGATATAGATCTATATATATATAGATATAGATCTATATATAGATAGATATAGATATAGATCTATATATATATAGATCTATATCTATAGGCAGTTCTCAAACATAAAGTGCAAGTTTGTCAGTCATAACCTGAGTTAAGCAATTTTAACTGCAGGATCCATTTTCCAAGACAGTTTGTAAAAAGTTGAATTTTACAGCAATGATGATTGGACATTTCAGCAGTCTCAAGTCTTTAATGCACTGACTGTGGCCTGTTTTATTTTTTGCATTTTAACTACCTTAAATCTATTTGTTTAACATTTTAACCCTACAAGTACAGTACAGTTTCCACATCAAACCCACTGCAAAATTTATTTGGTGCAGCTTTTCTTATCTGACAATGTGCTGTACTAAGCTACGAAAAGTTGTAAGAGCAACCTACAGTGTCTCTTCTTTGGCTGATGCACAAGTGCATCCAATACAATGAGAGCAAATCTACCTACAGTATCATCATAAAAGGCAAGTAAACTTTAAAAAGGTGCTTGTGCTACTAGAACACTAAGACGAGAACACTCCAGCTAATGCGCACGTCAGCCACAGATTTAATGGCATTTAAAGTCATGTTCAGGGTCAGATATTAACAGCAGCAGAGCATCTACATGACCATCTGACCTATATGCTCCTGCAGCCACAGCAGTAGAGGCTGTATAGAGCTGGGGCCATCAGACACCGCCTCTGTGTACATCTGCAGCAGTACCTCTTGTAAAACAAGCAGCAAGGGCAAGCTCATGCTCAGTAGCTCATACAGGAATGCATAGTCCTGGGCATTGTCCCTCAGGTGGCCGGCAAAGGCCTGTGCTATACCATGCACACGGCGGGACAGATACCAGGGGGTGTTACACACAGTGCGAATCACACCCAGGGGCCAGCTCAGGCGTTTCCTTATGAACGAGCTGAAGGTACCTGCTGAGGATTGACTCTGCAGGTCTGCCGTGCTGCTGGACTCGGAGCTCTGTCCGTCATCATCAGCGCATCGCTCCTGAACTCTAGTGCCATAACGATTCTAAGACAGAGGATGTGACGGACAGAGACGTTAGATATTTTACAGTTCAATATAAGACGGATATTGTTAGACGTACTCACCGAGCGCTGAGAAAAATTCCTCCGTAGGTTTGTCCCATTGTTGCGTTGAGCAAAATGAAGTTTGCAGTACAATTTCCCTGTAAGATTACAGCAAATATCAAAATGAAATAGTTGTTTTTCTTGGTAACATGGATCCAATACTGATGACAGGTGACATTCAATGATACGAACCCTGTTCAGAGTCGAAGGCGTGTGCTCCCTGTCGCAGGGCAGAGCTGCAGGTAGAACAGCGAAAACACTCCCTGTGGAAGTAGAGCCCCTCGGCACAGACCCTTTCCACCATATAAACTCGCCTCTCGCACGAGTGGCACTTGTCACCCGACGGGGGGAACGCCCTTCGTACCGAGCCACCCTGGGAACCAGAGAGCAGGTGGAGTGATGGTGAAAAGAAAAGCAGTGAAATAATGCCAGCCAATGAAGATTAACACTAATGCCATGACATTACAAAACTATAGCTAAAACACCGACTTAAATCTTCCCATTTAATTACTCTTTCCCGCCACCTAAACCCAGGAATTAAAAATACATAATAAACATAAAAACACTGAAACAGCTGTCAGAAACATTCATGAATTTAACACCTACTGCTGGCTTTTAAAACTATTATACATTATGCAAACTATTTTACCATTTATTTGGCCAAAAACATTCCTTTGCCGGAAAGCCTGTCTATCTTTAATATTTTTTATCTAGTTTCGCCTCTCCATTTTTGCTATTCATAGTTTTAACACAAGCTCAAAAAGCTGGTTAGTGGACCGAGAGTAAAGACTTTTTGTTTTGTAGTCAAGACAGCCCAAACCAAGACCGAGTCAAGACCAGAGCTTACCAAGACCGAGACAAGACCAAGACTTTTAGGGGCTAATATGTCTACATATTTTCCCAATTGCTCTTCAGGAATCAAATTTGATTTAAACATATATCATAATGTGTATAAGGAGTTGCTCCTTTATATTAAGCTAGTGTAAGTTCTGCTATAACATCTGGCTGTTGAGATGGAGCAGGCTGTTTGGGATGGGTGGAGCAGAGAAACCCACAAAGTGCCACAAGAACACACGCTTCTCCTCTGTGAGGACTGCTGGTAATTAAAAGCACACGGGGCAAAACAGCAGTTAAAAGCAAAGCTTTCATGCAAAGCAGCAGGCCTTTTGTATAAATCTGTCTGTATAATTGAGAAGATACATGACAACAGTCTAAATTGTGGGCTACGATGCTTCTTTTTAAAGCTTTTTGAGAACAGTCCCTCTACAGTTCCTTTTGTATCTGGAGGATTTCTGTGTGCTGCCTTTGGGACGCCGAAGATATGTTGAGCCTTCACTATGGGAACAAACATAACATCTTGAACATGAACTCTTCTTGCCAGTTTATCCAAGGCAGCCTAATACAACAATCCTTTATAAATTATCACTTTAAAACTTTTAGAGTTAACAGTTTAGGCTGTAGTTTGTGATGCTGTTAAACTTTCTTATACTGACAGTTGTTTCTAATTGATATAGGCGGGCGTTGGACTAAATATTAGAGTGTACCTAATAAACTTAGTGTATTTTATAGAAATTACTGGAAATAGGAAATATTTAATGCAAAAAATGTGTTTTACCAGCAGACAAAAGCTACAATAACATTTTGTTTGGCCACCAAGGTGGCAGAAGAAACAAGTTATGATCCATTGAACAATCATCACCTTTTATGTTGATAACTTGTTAGCAAGCATATTACACATCACATAGTTATGGAGCAACATCAGCATTAATTAACACTCATGATTCTAGCCTCCTGATGAAAGTATGTTCAAATTCACTCTCTTTAGATCTGCTTTTGTCTCCACCAAACCTGAGGGACATATGTAGCTCTTGTTGCTGCTAAATGCTCCGCTATGTCACCAGCTAGTTACTAACTGAGTCTCTCTGCTGTTTGTGCTGAGCGGTAGTGTACAGGGTTTTTAGAGCTTTTTCACTGAAAAACCCGCGGCAGAATGAACAAGGCTTGAGAGTGGACCAAATAGTTAAGTTACAGTCTGACAGCTAAACAGTGAGCTAAAACTCACTATAATGCTCTGTAATGCCGAGGTGAGCTGCAGATTCTGGTGGTAATTCTCTGTAGGTTCATCACTAGGAGCATTTCACATTGTTTCATATTGTGATTGACATTAGGGTTGGGCGATGTCTAGCAAACTGCCATCGGACCGACGATGGCATGTATATAT